CGTTAGGCATAATGACAGACTAAAGTTAATTGTAGCCGTAAAAAGCACAAATGGTTGGGTTTATTTGTGGTACGAAACGGAAGGACATAAAACGTAGGCGCTTGAAGCTACGTCTTACTTTGAAAAAACTATTAGCTGCCTACAAAGTTACAGCAAATTTTGATTTTCATCGAGATCGAGAAGAAGATTTGCGTGTGATTGCGCCATTTTCAAAATGTGGTTTTGTTATGTTTCAACTTTTCATTACTTTTCATCTAGTAAAACACACGTCACTAATGATGGAGCAGATCGCCCTACTTTACAAACAGACCGCGCTTTTTGTAGACATTATATATTACATGCGTTCAGTTATATGATTCTTCATTTCATTTAGAATTGGAATAGTACAGATATCAAGTGAAAAATAACTGCTATTTATGAGAGTGTAAAATTTAAGGGAAATAGCAGGTGTACTCCAAGTTTTTGTGTAACCCCGCTGTTGAGTGATCAAAATTTTCTTCCCAATGTTATAAGCTTTATAAGCTGCAATGTCAAATGAAAATGAGTGCGGCATCTGAAACTGATTGTACAAGAGAAATAATTTTTTCGGTCAGCTTGTCTGATTTCGCGGTAAGTACACCAATGTTCTCGCCTCCTCAAAATATTTTTCAGTCCTTGACAGCTTATTTTCAATATCTTTCTTGCTAAATTTACTTCAATTAAGATAGCCTTCACTATGGACGGTTTTCTAAAATTAATGCTCTCAATTCAAGGTTGTTCCTATATGTAGAGTTTGAATTAGGTTTTTCAGTCCGTGTAGCTGAAGAAAATGAGTCACAAGATTAGGAAAGTTATTGATTTTGTCTTCAGCCTTTCCCGTACTGGGAAAATACAAGGTTGGCTGAATATCCATAAAATGCCTGTCTGAGAAAAGGAACGAAAAAGTTTTTAGTTCTGTTTTTGTTTCCGAAATAACATGTTTGATTCTAATTTAGAAACTTTACCTAGCATATGCAAAAGAGTGTCGCATCTAAGGCACTCTACTAATATGGTTGAATCTTCTTAGCGTAGATATTGAGTTTAAATGATTTTTATAACGTTCAAAAAGAGACGTGATTATGGTATCACAGGTGGACTAATTTCAGAAAAAAGAAACTAACATCCACTTAGAGTTTATAAATGGCGTGCAGATAATGCATTATTGTGTCAGTGGCCATCATAAGCACAAAGACCTTTGTATTTGATGAAAAAGGGATTGAACATGAGGAAATACTGCTTAAGAAAAAAAGTTTCCCCCTTTTTTTATTATAGGGCAGGAAAATGCTGAGTATTAAGCAACGCAAACAGAATGAATTGATGTCAAAGTTTTCTTCAATGGTGACTGACTCCGAGATTCAGTAAATCTAGTCTTGATGCATAGTTTATTTGAGATCTCGTTGAACCTTCGCGGATTCGCGAAGCGGCTATGGATTATTTTGGAGCAAAAGTGGAAGCTCAATATGGAATTAACTAAGATTATGGAGAGTTTAAAGGCTGCAATTAATTAGCATCAAATATTTTGTCTTAACTTTCGTTTTGGAATAG